TTCTTTGCTTATGGATTTTAGGTAAACCATGAAACCTAAGTGTATGAGCTCCGGAGGACTTAATAGCATTGAATATAGAACTATCAATTAGATTTCTATTTTTTAGAGACTGTAAAGTATTAACAAACTGGAGTTCCGTCACTTCATTCGAGTCTTTACAACTACCCAGCTTTTGGAACTTAGAATGATCTCCCAGTAAGGCGTTCACATTTTAGATCTAGTTGCATTTTGCTATGACGACTGTGCTGGAACCCTTGTCAGGTCTAATAATTATAATACTGTCATCTGACTTCGGCCTTTTGATTCATTCTCGATACTTCTTCGTCAACATCCTTTTCATTTGGAACTTGGTATTGTTGTACTGGTAACAGAAGTCAACACTAAATCACATTCAGAGGACGGCATGTCCTATGTTTGAATAAAAAGGTTTTCTAACTGCATCTGTGTCTCTACATGATCAATATGAACCCTTCTGCCATAAAATTAGGACAAACTATGCGCCAAATGCGAGTGGTAAATGGTCGAGTCAGGTTTTGTCATCAACCAATGGTACCCAAATGTAAAAATCTGTCAGCCGGCACCTTTCTGAAATTTATGCATTCTGTGAAATATTTTATAAAGTTCATAACGTATTTTCTCTTTTGGTGTTTAACTGTGAATATATTCACAAATATTTCGTCAGAATCAACATTATAATTCTATAAATCATATATATATACCCTAGTGTAGATTGATAATAAATTCATTTAAAAGAATCTCTTCATTGAATCACTTGTTTTTATTTTCTAACTTTTATATGTCACAGTCATAAAGTTGTACTTCTATCAGGCCAAATCACTATATTATTCGAAGGATTCTTAACTCTTGTGGCTGTTCGCTGTATCTAGAAAGTGTTAATAGTTGTTATTTGGTTATTAATTCTGACAGACCTCTATTTTAGAGACTCAACTCGTTGACTCTTTCGGTTGCCCCACTCTAATATGTTTCCCAAGCTACCTCTGTCATCGCCCGTGTGGGAGAAAATGAATATAACATATCAGTTCAATGTACCAATCAGTCTAGTCTTTTTAAAATGTCGAATACCTGTGACACTTGTCTGTGATTAAAAGCAATTTAGTTAGATAAACGTATCAATTCAGATGAAATCATCTGAAGCTGAAGTAGTTCCATAGATTTCTTCAGCACCTACGTAATATATGGATGGCGTTTCAAGAACAATTTATCGCTCATAAAATAGCTCAAGGATTGAAAGCTTCGGATGTTAAATGGTGGAAGACAGTCTGCCTCAGACAGTATTCTCGCAACCTTCTATAACTCATCCTTAATGAAGTAAGTAGAGTGAGCTAACAGAGCTTCCGGAGCCACCAGACTACATAGGATTATTTCTGAAGTACTGACCACTAAGACTCATTATTACAAAGACCTGTTTTCAACCAGCGTGTCACCCAGTTTCCAAACCAGGTAAATTTATGAGAAACTGTATAGTCTCTGGAAGGAGCTTGCAGCTGGAAGACCTCTTCACACCTCACTGTTACAGCAAGTCTTCCTCATGTCTCGGAAAATGATGGTCTAACTTCGCCTCTTGGAGTTTGTTGATACCATAGACGTCAATGTGCAATGCACAAATTTGTACTCGTATCTACATCTTCGACAGTAGCCAGTCTGGATACGATTGAGTCTGCACGTGGTGGCGACTAGGTTCAATGACGTACCACTATTTTATCACCTCTTCAGCATTAGAGATCGTGACTCTGGGGACCACTTTCTGGTCGATACCGGGCGAGAGGCTGGCGTAATTTTCCCTCCAACAGAAAATAGTCTGCCTCCACACATACGTCCTGCAAACAGTTTTCCACCACATCTTACGGTTCCTAGACCTTATTTAGGACTTCATCATTCCTTCTCTTGGGTTTTCATCATAATAATATATTTTATTCCTGTTTATGCAGGAACAGGCATGAATAAGTTATTGCAAAGATTACACAAATTTTGTTGTATGGTGAATTTACAGTTTGGTTATTCTTCCTGACACCAGAGTCAGTCGGAACAGTCTGCTAAATAGTCTGTTTGTGTAACACATAAAGAGATATAGAAATATGGTCTTCGCATTAACAAAAGACCCAGATATCAGATGAATGTAATACAAATATCTGAGGAAAAAAGTTTGAACTCAATTCTCCTACGTAACTTTGTTGTGAACAGCATCCTAGACTTAAAGTGCATTCATGTATTATGTTGAGATCAGTGATGTATTTATTCCATTTTTCCAGCAGCAATATATATATATATATATAGCAATGAGGTCAGTATCTTGACCTATTCGTTTAAGTCTGTGCCGTAGAGGCTCGCATGTTCCATTTTCATGTGCGACAGCTTCGATGCCACGCATGGTTAGGCATTTGTGTGGCAAACTGTTAACTCAGGTCGGTGCTTCCGCGCCCCATCCACAGAGGTTTTAGGATAATCAGAATTCGAACCTTGACAGCTCAATAACCCTTAATCGTAAGGCTTTTCTCGCCATTTTGGCCCGTCATTCGCTTAATTCTGGAGCCACAGACTTCTTTTGTTGAGATCTGCTAGGTATAAGACAGCACGGACGTATATGTCTGATGCTTCAAGTTCGGGACTTGCCTGGTATAACAACCCTCCATGTTTTTGAGTTCAGTACGACTTGAAGAAGGCGTACCGGTTGGTTTACTGTAGAGTCACCCTTTCGGCCGATTCTATACAAGCTATGAATAGTTACACGCTGATACTGTTGTTGGCAGTAACTTTCCTAAGCGAGGTTTGATTAGGTTGCTGCTCCTCTCCTGTGGTGGAGTACTCTTGCAGTGCAGAAGCTTTAGTGCCCCACTGAGCATGACAAAGGTGTAGCGGTAAATAATTCCCCAAAATTATTAACCACAGCAATCATCACTCAACATTGGATGCTGACCACCACTGTTTAAGTTGACTTGTTTAGGTGAAGGCTTCCGGTTAAGCATCCCCGCCATTTGGTGCTTCGTCGTGTCACGTGCGTGCACGATTACTAGCTAGCTAAGCATTCACCTCTACCTGCGATTTTGTCCCGAAATATACTACGTACTTTGGACGACAAAATTTGGTCTTTTGCTTTATATTTGCTACTCGAAGAACGAACACTATAGAAGTTGTTGGTATAAGATCTTGCGTTAGTATAATCCGTACAACTCGCGAACGTCGATACCCTCAGCCCCTAAAAAGGCTTCTTTAATACGGATTCACTTTTGCTGCAGCAATCATTGCACAGCCATTTCGCCAGAGGTTTGCAGTAGTGTTTGTATGCTGTAGAGGTTAGGTTTGTACACGTGCTATGGAACCAACACCTGCAGCTGTCACTTTGCATGTCTTCGTCAACTGTGAATTGACACATAAGTATTCCACAACGGTTTCTTTTTATAGGCATAATTTTCAAAGTGAATCGTGACTACAGGATTCATATAGGACCAAATGAATAGATAAACTCAGTGTTAATCGCGACAGATAGATAGACTGTATGATAAGCAGCCAATCAATATTATGTGACCTTTTTTGTCGCGATTATTGGCTAATTAATGTAACTCTCACCACGTGATGGTGACCTTGAATGTTCTTTTTTGTCTGTCACTTTACTTGTATATACATGTAATTAATTGACTGTTCATTTTGTCCGTACCTTCAATACTGTTCGGTACGTTTTTGTCCTATTTTTGTAATGACAGCGGATTTGTACATTTTTCTTGGTGTAATTGTATGGTTTATTTCATGTTTTAGAAACAGATAAAGTTAAAGTCAAGTTATTCTGTTTTAACTATAGCTAAGCCGAGACTCTGTATCGTCAGTATTGAGGAAGGACAAAATCTGTAGGACAAAAATAATCCTACACTCAGAACTTAATAAACAAAGCTAATGTCAACCACATTAAACTGATTCAAAGTCAGGTCCTTTTGTACGAACGATACAAAAAAGCCCGATATGAACAGAAGCATCAGAAGTTCATTCCTTTCTAAAGTCCTCACGAATAAAACCAAAGCAAATTTATTGAGAGAAGGAATATTTACTTTCAAATACGTCTCTGGCTCTACTCTTATGTATGTATCATTTTTATTACAATACACAACAAGTAGCCAGTCAAGTAGCGACATGTTTGTCAACAATAATTAGTCAGTATCAACATGTCAAGGTGTGATAATTAACGAAGAGGATTATTACACACGGTTAAAAGGTAGAAATGGCTAAGACAGGTGGATTGCGTGACGAAAAATTTCGGAAAAAAGAAGACTAGTTAAGGAATAAGCAGGTGTTCAGGGTGATAACGTAGCTACAGAAAAGAAATTTCCTACGAAATCCTGGTCGGTTTGTTTATAACTTTTCAGATGTCGTCGATGATGTAAATGTGCAAGTAATTTACCTTGGCAATAAGTTCTGTGATAACCATCTTAGAATTAATAAGGTTGATATGCAGGTCAAGTTCGAAAACATTCCTATGCAAACCGAAGGATTGATACCTTCATCAGCTGAGGTAGTTGAAAGTCTTAAATCAACTCTCGTCGTCCGCTACTGTAAATATTATATAAAAGCAGATGGAAACTAAAATGGCTTATTAACCAAGAAACAAAGGGAAGCCCTGCGAAATAATGAGAATATAATAATTACGTAAATATTCCTTCTCTCAATAATTCTGATTTTCAAATATCCAAATGAAGACAAATTTCAACATCGTAATTCAACCTCAGCTGCAACGATCGAGTGGTGGATTTGCTACTCTGGAATTTAAACGGAACCAGGATAATTCTCCTTATAGACGGGAGGTGAGCACGAGGAAATCAGTTTCGTCTGCACTAGCTCGTAAAAATGTTGAAGAATATCGGGTATTGGGCATTGGAAGGAGAAACGCGGCTTGTTGACTTACTGCGGTACCATTAGGTTTCGGGAAGTCACCCTAGAATTGATTACTAGTTGCGACTGAGTCTCTCTGGAAAAATTATTTAATAGAGTAGAACATGGATTTGCGTGCCGATGACCATTTGATTGGGTTAGACTTTCAGGTAAGTTTTTTTATATGAATCGCTATATTTGATAAACAGAAAGATCACCCTGTTGACGTTAGGAAAAAGAAGGGAAGAATGATGTACAAAGCCAAGAAATATAGACTGGAAAACGAGATCAAGGTTACCGCGATTAATAAACAGCTCAAAATACCCTGGCCTATTTATTCCTTCAGAAATAAAAAATGCTATATTGATGATAATATTCTTCGTAACTTATCGGAGCTGACATACAAAGTTCCAACGCCTATTCAAGCTCAGGGTATTCCAATTATGATGCAGGTGGGTCTGCTTCGGCGTTTTTGATCAGTTTTTCTCGCAAATCCGTCAACTGCACCTATGTTTTTTAAATGTCACTCTGAATTGTAGTAAAGTACTATAAGGCGTTCATAAATCCCTCACTTTATTATTTAATTAAAAAAGACCAGGCGCTTATGAAGTGCCCCCAACAACAATAGTAGCACAATAACATGTAAATGAGAAACCCCTCACGCAGCTGGCACTGAGTTTGTGTGCGTCGCAGACACTTAGGAGCAGACAGCTGTCACACTTTCTGCAATGCGGCCGGATCTCTTTGCCCCGAAATTTCTCCAGTGCGCTCGAATAAAATGCCATCTGAGTCAATTTTAGTATAAAGATTTACTAATGCCACTTTATTTTTCGGATTCCACTTAAAGTACTTTATTAAACCGTGAAACGTTTTCGTGCTGATTTGTGCTGGATTTTACTACAATTAATGTCCTTATACCACTGGAATACAGTCTTATTCTATCATACTCTCGTCATCATTTTATTTAAAGTGTTTTTGGCACATGGTATTCCAGTACTCCTTTTTTGCTAGTACTTAGTTTGCGTTATTAGTCTCTAAGATTTAATATCGAACTCAAACGCTGCCTGTACTTTTCTTTTGTCATCATTTACTATCTAGTCGGCAGGCTTAGCTATACATATATCTACTACGGAGCTGATTGTTTTTGCCACGTCTGATTGACGAGTCATTCAAACCATTAGCTTGAAAGGGTAGAAGTTCGATTTGTCATTCATTTCAAAAACACATCACAGCTGGAAATCGAAATATAAGTGTACTATAAGAGACAGCTATGGAACGAACAAAGGTAAAGACCAGGTGGTGATTGAACATTTTAGAGTCTGGGAGATAACAGAAAGTAACAGCATCTGCAACACGTAGCGATTTTTAGTTATATCACGAAGTTTGTCCACCTTCTGGTTCGTAGCACTTGTAGAGCCTCAATTTGCACCTTCCTACCGAGCCCAAATCCACAAAATGCATTGTTGTCATGTTCTGGTCTCACCACTTCTTGAATCTTTCCAACAACAAACTTCATGTGACAGTTTCCATCGATGAAGTTAGTGGTTCGGCACGTGTAAAGAGTCCTGATCACCTCGAACGGTAACGACATCAATCATGTCGACTGACTTAACTTTCTTACATAGTACTACGCTTGACATCGGTATTATTTATTACATTTCTCCGTTTAACGTGGACGGTTAAACGAAGGCAATGTTATCTACTTTCAGCGGACATGTTTAATAGCTATAGATTAGGAAATAAAGAGTTGCTGCGACCCCATTATAGATCTTATCTATATTTATATCAATAGTTGTTGCAACCGCTTCCCATCCAAATGTCTGCGCGAAAATTGTTAGTTAACAGTAGAGACTGTCCTAGACCTTATGTCTTTTCTCTTACCCCGGCTTTTTTGCACATTTATCGTATTCGTAAGTATCATACTTGACAACGTCTTTGTTGTTTCACTGTCTGTCTGGGTTCAACATAGAACTCGGCACCGAAGTGCAGCAGTTCGAGTTGCCACGTCCCAAATAGCACACAAAGGTAGACAAGAAGATGAGTGAAGAGAATCAGTAGAGTTTTGACAAGTATAACAGTGAAACAGAATGAGTAATGTTAGAAAGGAATGTGAAAGATTACAGAGACTGAATACATCTGCGCCATTGACTAAGATTTTGAGCCATGTCACCTATTGTCTCCAGCCATTAATTCTTAGAGTCCCGAGGGCTTCAACCCAGAAGTTTGCATCTCCCTACCTGACTCAGTTTAACCGTTAAGAATTTCATGGATTGATGCCATGTTTTTGTTTGGCCACCACTTACTCATTTCCAACCTGCACCTATATCAGCTAGCAATGCCCGTCGGGGGAGGCGATGGTTAGGCATAAGCAGCACGTGACCTAGCCATCTCAATCTATGTAACTTTATAGCCCCGTCGGTTGATTTTCCCTCCTTACCCAACACTCTACGCCTAACGTCAACATTACTTACCTTATTATACCACCTAACGTGAGAAAGAGATCGTAGACATCTATGATCAAAAACAGTTAACCTTTTCATGTCTTCAACTCGTGTTGGCCATGTTTCAGAGCCATAGAGAAGGACGGAGCGAACTGCTGAGCAGTACACACGTCCCTTGGTTGATAGCCGGATATCACGCCTAAACCAGAGATGGTGTAAGTTAGCGAAAGCAGCCCGAGCTTTCTGGATCCGTGCTGAGATTTCGTCGCTAATCAGTCCGTTGATGCTGATACAACTTCCCAAATAGGTGAAGTGGTCAACATGTTCTATCACTTCACTCCGTATCACTAAGCTAGGAGTTGACGTAGTCCAGTCCTGTAGCAGCATCTTACATTTTACAGGGGCGAATCGCATGCCAAACATACAAAGATTGCTGCTCAAGGTGTTCAGAAGACTCTGCATTTTGTCAGCGTCCTCCCCTAACAGGACTATGTCATCTGTATATTCTAAGTCCATAAGACTATTCTCTGGTCACAAGTCGATTCCTAAGTCGTTAAGTTCAGTTAAGGATACTTCCATTAGCATAACTATGATGAAGTTAAACAGAAATGGGGAAAGTAGACATCCTTGACGGACACCACTGGTAGTTATCAATTCAGATGACAATTCCCCATAAGCCCTTACACAGCTACGTGAGTTTGAGTAGAGTGCCTTGATTAGTGCAATGTACTTTCTTGGCACTCCCTTCACAGTCAAACATTGCCATAGTACCTCTCGATCCACGGAGTCGAAGGCCGCCTTCAGGTCAAGAAATATGGCAATTGTTGGACGCCTAAAAGTGTGTCTATGTTCTAGGATCTGTCGGAGAGTGAAGATATGATCTATGTACCCTTTACCTGGCCTAAAGCCCACTTGATTTTCCCTCGTTTGTTCCTCCTGAGTTCTGCTTAGTCTGTGCATGATTACTGAGCCTAGGATTTTAGAGACTATGTTCGTTAGGCTGATACCCCCATGATTATCACATGAGGACTTGTCTCCCTTCTTGAATATCGGTATAATAAGTGACTTACCCCAGTCTGATGGAACCGACTCTGATTCCCAGACGTTACCTAGTAACGTAGCTAATCTACATACTAGTATGTCACCCCCATATTTAAACACCTCCGGAATAATTCCGTCGGGTCCTGCCGCTTTGCCTCGTTTAAAATTACAGATAGCTTTTGTGACCTCCCCTACAGACGGCGGACCAGTGTCTATATCCCATTCGGGTGTGTGCTGGATGGCGGGGAGGCTCAGTGTGGCTGTAGGCAAGTTAAATTGTTCCTCAAAGTGTTCTTTCCAGCGTTCAAGGCGTCTATCCTGACAGCTAATTAAGGAGCCATTTTTCTCAGAAATAGTCTCACTTATAATTTGCCTTCTCCAACTCGTTTCCCTGATGAGTCTAAAGAGTTGCCTAGTGTTGCCTATCGCCGATGCTCCTTCGCCTTTGTCACCCACCACTGTTCACGGTCCTTGCGGAGACTTTTCGTAAGTTTCTTTTTGTGCAGCTTTCGCTCCTCATTGAATTCGGAGCTCGCCGGAATAAGTCTTCTAGCATCTATCAGTTCGGATGAGGCAGTTGAAATCCAATGGTTTTAACTCACCTCTAGATATACCTTATTCACAGCTTTTACAGCTGTATCTATGGCTGACTGAATATTCCTCCAGGCTTCTTCAGCGTGAGCACAGCTGTCGAACTCAGATATGTGTTTAGCTAGTTCTTCCTCAAATAGGGACTTAGTTTCCTGATCGAGCTGGGGACGTGATGGGTTTACCGTCAGCTGTTTCCTACGTCCGTTCAGTGGTAAGCACACACGAGCGCAGACCAATGCGTTATCGGTATTTACACACGTGTTCCAGAAGGAGCGACAATCTCCTACCGACCCACGCCAACGATAGCTTATTTCTATGGGGTCTATTTGTGTCCAGCGTTGGTTTGATGATGGGGGTCGCCAGGTCAAACAGTGTCTCTCCTTGTGTTTGAAGTTAGTGCTTACAAGAAACAAATGATTATCTGAACAGAACTGTAGGAGACGGTCACCGTTGTCGGTTCACTGGCACGGAACTCCATAGGTGCCTACTTCTCAGATTGACACAATTTCCCTACTTGAGCATTAAAGTCACCAGCTAGAACGACTATATCTGAGCGTTTAGCCTTTCGCAGCAAACTAGACAGCTTTTGGTAGAACTCATCCTTCGTTTCATCCGAACTGCAGTCAGTGGGGGCGTAGGCGGAGATTACGAAAAGGCATCGGCGAGTAGTGCAGTCCTTTCTCCTTTTTACTGATCCGTCCACACGGACAGCACACATTCGGCTATCTACCGGGATCCAGTCAAGTAATGTCTGTTCTGCCCTAGTACTCAAAGCTATCCCTACATCAGCTAATCCTCGTGAACTCGCTGTGGCATCTTCTGACACCCTCAAGGTGAATTTTGCAGATTCATCCTGTTGACCAGGTGGGGTTAGATGAATAACCACACTTGGGTCTTGTATGCGTGTTTCTGAAACACAACATACATCAATGGCCCGGGATGCCAGAGTCTTGGCTAGTGATGCCTGTTGTCCTATTTGGCAAAGTGTCCTAACATTAAATGCCCCTATATGAAATTGGTGGCGTGGCTTTAGGAGACTATCGGTAGTAGTATTTTGGCTTCCATCGTTTTTAGTGGACACTGAGTGAAGAGGAAGTGGAAAGCCATCAAGTAGAGGAGTTGCATCAGTAGAAGGAAGGCAGGATAATAGAGATGAAGATGAAGACAAAGATGAGTGGGGATTAGAAAGGTTTCGCGTGCACTTCGGATTGTGAGGGCGATTGGTACTTCCCGGCTGCCCACACCGTGGAAGTTGGTTGCGTGACCGCAGAGCCCAGGAGACAACTACTTGAGGCCGGTCACACACAGCCTGTTTTTGTTTGTTCTTTTTTATTTGGTGTGTCTCAGTAGCATATTTATCACTTCTGCCCTGTGACACG